GATATTACCGTTAGAGTGCGCGCCCATGCGCGTCCAAGCTTGAGAGTGTGCGCCCATGCGCGCCCAAGCTTGATATTACCGTTAGAGTGCGCGCCTATACACGCCCAAGCTTGAGAGTGCGCGCCCATCCGCGCCCAAACTTGATATTGCCGTTAGAGTGCGCGCCCATGCGTGCCCAAGCTTGAGAGTGCGCGCCCGTGCGCGCCCAAGTTTGATATTGTCGTTGAAGTGCGCGCCCATACGCGCCCAAGCTCGAGAAGTGCGCGCCCATGCGCGCCCAAGCTTGATATTGCTTGAGAGTGCGCGCCTATGCGTGCCCAAGCTAAATATTGCTGTTGGAGTTTGCCCGTGTGCGCCCAGGCCAGATATTGCTGTTGGAGTACACGCCCGTGTGCGCCCAGGCCAGATATTACTGTTAGAGTGTGCGCCCGTGTGTGCCCCGGGTCAGAAATAGTTATTTGAGTGCGTGCCCGTGTGCACTTGCGCTGGATATGTGTGCGCCCAGGCTAGATGTTGTCGTTTGAGTGCGCACCCATGTGCCCTTACGCTGGATATTGTCATTTGAGTACGCGCCTATATGTGCCCTTGCGCTGGATATTGTCATTTGAGTACGCACCTATGTGCGCCCAGGCTGCGTATTGTCATTTGAGTGCGCGCCCGTGTGCGCTCGAGCCTATGATTATTATGAGATGATTTGCCTCCACGCACCCGTTGATTTATTTCTTTGCTGATCAGCAACACCTCATGCACATGATATTTTCCCTCGCACGGGGAGCATTGGCGGTTCAGTCCCTGCACAGACGACCTGGCTCAGTCTAGCCCCAGTACATTCAACATTTGTGACTGGTCCCTGTGCATGAGATGTATCACTGATCAGTTGCTGTTCAGCCGGGCCCTTCAGGCGGGCCTACTTGAGATTGTTGTTGCTCAGTCGGGCCCCTTCAGGCGGGCCCACTTCTCAAGATTGTTGCAGTTTTTCAGCCAGGTCCCCTCAGGCGGGCCCTTTCTTTAGAGCTAGTTGTTGTTCAGCCAGGCCCACTCAGGATTGAGTTGTTGTTCAGCCAGGCCCATTCAGGCGGGCTTTATATTGAGTTGATGTTCAGTCGGGCCCATTCAGGCGGGCCTCACTTTGAGTCAGGCTATTCAGACTGGCCTCCATATCGAGTTGCAAATTGATATTTCGGTCAGGTCTTGGAGGCAATACCCGTACCAGAGAGGGTGTGCTTTCTGTCCAAGCTGGCCAGTCGTCGTGAGACTACCCCTAAGTGGGGTAGATTGATCGAGAGGTTCTACTATAGACATGTGGGACACCAGAGTTTCACCATCAGGGCCAATGAGTCCTCGACCTCGAGACACACGCTCGTGATCACCTACTCGGTGAAGGGGGCAGAGACAGGGGTGAAGGGCACCACATACGACCGGATTGTTGATTACATATTTCACAGCCAGGGCTATTGGAGGGACAACTGGCTACCTGTGGTATTCCCTCGTGTACCTTCAGCACCTGGGGGGGTGCTTTTCGATTTTGATGGATGCAACCCCAAGCCCCTTAGTGAGTCTCGCAGCAAGGACAAGAGGCGGAAGGACGACCGGATTAGGAGAGAGAGAGCCAGATCAGGGGTCCCAATCACTACATGCGTCGCGAGATCAGAGACAGATGAGTCAGACTTGGAGCCCTGCTCTGTGAGTGACATTGATCTTGGGGACTATTTTGACTGGGACACTCACAGAGATTGAGTTCGTGGACAGCGACAGGAGCACTGGAGACCAGCGAGCGGAGACGTCGGAGGGCGACATTGAGGAGGATCGCACATCTTCTTGCACGATATCTTCTTGACGGTGACTGACTTCTACATGTCAGACAACCCTAGGTCTGAGACAGTTATTGGTCCCCCAAGAGGGGAGGGTCCGGTCCCATACCTTGGAGATGGTTATAAGTCATTTGGTCGGGACGGACTTTGCTATGCAAGCTTATCGAAAGCCTCTTTACGGAGATCGTTTTCTCGAGGTTTCCTACATTTACTCTGGTGGGAGAGGACGTATTGAGATATTGATTGGAGCTTCATGCGATATCATCCTTGCAGAGGAGCTTTATCTCAGGAGCGTCGCAGACGAGGAGATGGCCAGATGCATGGCCTATATCTGCAAGATTGATCCAACAACGCCTCTCGAGATCAGCTGTGGTTCCAGAGTCTATAGCCACATGAGTTCTCAATGACGAGGAGTCCCAGACGGCAACACTCACTCACGAGGGGGTACCGCTTATTATCATTGATTGAGGTTCTCTCTTTTCAGTCACTATTGATGTATTACGACATTATTACTTATTAGTGACTGCAGCCCTCCAATGGCCGCTCCCTGCATACTCTGTGTACTACTCTTCAGTCTCGTATCTCTGGTTATACTCTTGCAGAGTCTGGTTTCTGGTCTTCTCATTTTGTCAGTGTCAATTGCTCTATGATGCATGTTTTTTATTTTTCCTCCTTATTTTATGTAGGTTACACTCAAGGCAACTTAAAGGACTCCTGAATGATAGGGACTCTGCTGACCTTGAGTCTATCCTTTATACGGGGTCAGGTGCAGGCGATAAACCCGAACGCCTCACTCTAAGTCGTGTCGCTGCTGGCAGGAGGGATAACCCTGACTACTCGGCTGTATGATAAAGTGTGACTGCCTCTGAACACACCTCTATTTTTATACCTAGCAAAATTCCTGCGTGACAGCCTGCCAGTCCTCCAACCCA